TTATTGTTGTTATTATTGTTGTTGCTGTTGTTATTATTGTTGTTATTGTTGTTATTATTGTTGTTGCTGTTGTTATTATTGTTGTTGTTGTTGTTATTATTGTTGTTATTATTGTTGTTGTTGTTGTTGTTATTGTTGTTATTATTGTTGTTGTTGTTGTTATTATTGTTGTTGTTGTTGTTGTTGTTATTATTATTATTATCATTATTATTATTGTTATAGCTAAAGCTAAGAGAACTGTAAGACTAATGATGTTTAACCTACCAACCACATGTAAAGTATACGTATGATTTATTGTTCCATAAGCATTGGAAACCACACAGGTATATTGCCCACTATCTTGTGGCACAAGTTTCCTTAACCTCAAATACGATAGAGTTGCCTTCGTGTTACGAACTATCGCTTTCCCATCTTTCAGCCATTGGTACTTGATAGGTTGTGCTCCGTCTGCTAAGCATCTCAGTTTTTTTGAATGAGACTCCGGCCATGCTATAAAAGATAGCCGCATTTTCTCCCAGTTTTTAAAGATGGGAGCCCTGTGGTCTATAAAACAAAAAGAGTATTGAGCGAAAGAACACAGGGACAGGAAACTCAGGATCTTCCTRCATCATTTCCAATTTTGCTCTCTTTATTCTTAAATAAATCTKGGTGATCTGAGTTTTCTGAAGAGTTTTTTGCTTAGTCGCAAAAGTGTGTGGAAAATATTTTTACTTGATTTTGTGCAATTCTTTGTACAAGTYTCTTATGCAATAGAAGATATATAATACCATATAAGTTCTTCTTAGCTTCGCTAATCCCGTGTTACACGCGAGAACATTTGATACTGGAAATGCAGCCGGTGGAGAGAGTTTGACGTCATTTTTTCGCAAATGAAATATARAACTCGGGTTTGTGACATTCCAATGCTCTCTTAGTATCAAATTGTCTCAATTTGTGGTCATCTGTACCGAGCTTGGATAAAATGACTGAAAATGACTCAGATTAATGCGATAAAAAAGTCGAGGCAAGTTTTACCTATTTTACTTGTTGGAGTCGACGTGGTTCTTAGGTTGATGGCATCTCCCTCTGCAAGAATTACATGCAAAAATAAAACAGTTACGACATGTTCCAAAAGGTGTGATTGTTTCTTCTAAAGCAAATGAATTGCTGTTTTTTACCTATTATGAAACAAAGCCATTGTAAAGTTACTACGCCTGTGAAATAGCTATTAAACTAAT